CTCTGTCTGTGTCGCTGTTTCCCTCCTCTGTGTCTGTTCTTCTCTGACTGGTGGTTGGAGACAGTAGTCACACATTTTGGTCCAGTCGTGAAGGAGGAGGGTTCAGAAAAGATTATGATCGGGTTTATTGTTTTATGTTATTTATTAAAGCTTATCAGCACGACTCACCTTGCACACCAGTCAATTCCAACTCCACTACGAACTACTTCCTGCGGGCTTTTCACAATAGAACCACATTAAGTCTCCATCAGCATAACGTCTCCATATTAACTAACCGCGTTAAATCTAACTGTGCACGTCACTGAAGAGGTGTTTACTACATTCAGCGACAGCGAAAACGGGATGTTTTTTTAAACGTCAGTCAATATAAGCAGCGGAATCGCCACCCCCGGCTGCAACTAGCTGCTCCAAACATTAGCATGCTAACGCACATAGCGGTGCAGCAAGGAAAAATGTCCCCCGGGAAACAGTTCACTGTCTGCCGCGACAAAACGTTCCGCATGTGTTCAGGCTATTTAAACCGGAATGTCCGGTATTCAAAAAATTCATATCGTAACAAAAATAAAAACCAGTATTATGTACAAAACGGTATACCGCCCAGCACCATCTGCAGTCCCAGCGGTAAACAAGATATGCAAAAGCACAAATTCAATTAAAACAAACGAAATTCACGACGAGTTAGGATGAAAGAAATGTAAACAAAAAGTGCAGAACTAGGAAACAAAGGTTTCACTCTTCAAATACTACAAAATGTTTTGGGTGTTCATACACGGTTTTGCAAACAGAATGGTTAAAACCTATATTAGTCCTTTATTTTCTCACTCTAACTTCATCATGCCTGATGTTTAGATTTCTACATTATGCCAGGCCTCCAAGTGGTTCTAATCAATTCAAAGGTAAATTATTAAAAATATAAGACTTCTTTAACTAGGTTAAATCAAACATTTTTTTACAGACTTTAGGTCCGCAAAACAACACGGAACAACAAACAAAAACTAACAAGAAAAATAAAACATACAAAGGGCAACCCCACAACATAAGTAATACACCCTACAGAAAGGCCCTGTCACACTAGACAACTTATGAACATTTTAAAGACATCTACATTGAAGATTGAAGGTGGAATTGAAAAAAATTAACAAGAAGCTTCTTTTTGGCRTGTACATAATTTAATTTGAACAATTTGATCAAATATATAACTTTTATTAGCAATTTAGGTATAAAAAATGTTTCATAAGTTGGCATAAGTTGTCTAGTGTGACAGGGCCTGAAGAGAAGCGTATCAATGCCTCCATAACTGAGACTGGTAACGTGAAAAACAGAGCCTTCGACAGGCACATATTTATTGAGTTTAACAATCATTGACCCTAATGGCTTTAGGGTCAATGATTGTTAAACCTTGGACCTTTAGATGATTGTTAAAGATTGTTGGACCTTTTAGATGTAATATATACAAGAACCGATTTGGCTCACTATTTGGCAAGAAACTGGACAATTTTATCTGTTTCCTGTCCTTAATTAATGAATAATAAAAACTTATTAAGGATTTATAAAGTGTTTACAGATGAATTAGTAACCTACCTATAAACTAT